GTCACACGTTCGGTTCGAGTCCCATTTAGCGACTCGAGAGCTCGAAACGCGTGCGGGGTTTTGGCCGCCTCCACTGTGCGGCGCCGAGCCGACGCGCGCCGAGGGCATCCGGGACGCGGCCGCCGTGGCCGTCGCGAGGCACATGATCGCCTCGATTCGGCCCATTTGCACGGCTCGCTGGCCATCATGGTGGCCATCATGGCGATGGGTAAATCGGGCCCCAAATCGGTGTCGCGCGCGCCGCATCAGCGCCGAATCACCGAATCGCCGGCCGGGCAGAAAAAAAAGCGTGCTCCAAATTTCCAGTGATATCATTAAACGGACCGGTCTGGAATAACAATCAGCGACACATTATTTCCCGTTTTTTCTCCTCCTCCTCCTCCTCCTCCTCCTCCTCCTCATCGAGCCCGTGTGCCACATATCGATACCTATACCCGCCCGTGCGGCCCGCTTGGCCCACTGACTGGTTCGGCAAGGTACTCGCGGCAAGATCTTGCGGGGCGGGGCGGGGCGAGGCGGGGTGGGGCGGGGCGGGGCAAGACCGCGACCCCGACGAGTACTGCTCGGTTCGGTTCGCCAGAGGTACAAGCTGCAACCCTGGTTCTGGTCCTGGGCAGGACGGATTCCGAGAGTCGTTTTCGTCGCTCTGTCTCCCTCGCACCCATTGGGCGCCCCGTGAGAGCGAGAGAGACCGAGCGACGAAAGCGACTCTCGGAATCGGGTCTGCAGCAGGCGGGCGCCGCGGAGGGCGGTGGGCGACGCGGTGGGCGGCAAGGGAGCTGGCCGGCGACGACGTGGGCGCGGCCCCCGGGCCCGCAGGCTGCACCGAGGAGGAAGCAAAACACAAAAGCGCGCGCACGAGCCGCCGCCGGCGGTATTCGAACCCACGACCGGCGCGGAGGACAATCACTGGGCCGTGTTTTGGGCGTCTCGGGAGCCGCGGTCCAGTTTTTATCCCCCATTTTGACACCCCGTTTGCATAATCAACGGCAACGAGGTTGATGAGAAGGGCACGGCGGCGAGGGCTCCACGATCGGCTGCCCTGGGGACGCCCACGCCGCCAAGCCCAGCAGACTCATTCCGAGAGTCGCTTTGACCGCTCTGTCTCTCTCGCACCCACACGGGACGCCCCGTGAGTGCGAGAGAGACAGAGCGACGACTCTCGGAATGAGGCCCGGCCGATGGTGTGATCGGACGCCTTCTCGGATGGGCCCTTCCACACCTCCTTCATCAGGATGCCGCCACACTGGTTGGCCCACCTCGCTCGCGCCTTCCTCCGCCTCGCCGGCCGCGCCGCCGCGTGGGCGGCAGGGACGCCGTCGAGGCCCCGAAGCTCGTGTCCCGCAGGCCGATTCCGAGAGTCGCTTTCGTCGCTCTGTCTCTCTCGCACCTACACGGGACGCCCCATGAGTGCGAGAGAAACAGACTGTCTGCTGCGCGGGAGCTGGGCGCCAAGGACCGCCGCGGTGGTACTGCCTTCGTCGCTCCGTCCCTCTCGCACACTGTGGGCCGCCCTTGGAGTGCGAGAGAGACAGCGCGCCTGCACTGCAGTGCACTGCAGGGAAGAAGGGGGTCAGGGCCCAGCGCCGCGGCGCCACATCGGCCACGTCGCAGTGGGAGTCGGGGACCTCGTTTCAAGTTTGAGCCCAGATTTCAGCATTCAGCGCCGCCCGCGTCGACATCCCCAAGACGAGGTGCTTCCCCGCCCCAGACAGCTGTCCTCGTCCCTCAGTCTCTTTTGCACTCATAGTGTGCATCAGTGTGCTGCGCACCGAGTGTCTCGCGGTGTAGCGCCGCCTCAATTCTTTTCCCGCCGCCTCGCCCGGCTTTCGCCTTCCAAACAATTGGCCACGGGACGCGCACAATTTTAATAATTTTTCCTGCAGCCTACCGCGTCTTGCGCTCTGCCCCGCGCCGCTACGCGCTGCTCCCAGGCCGGGTCAGCACCGGCCGGCGCCCCGCACTGGAAGCTGGCACAGCACTGCGGCACAGTGTGGCAGAGCCCGCCGATGGAAAGTGTTCTCACACTGACGCGCCGTGATGCCGGCCAGGGCTGCGCGGCCTGTTGCACAGTGGGCCAGAAGACCGGTGGAGGCGGTCGAAATCCCGGACGCGTTTTGAGCTCCAGAGTCGCTGAATGGGACTCGAACCGAACGTGTGACCCCACCAATGGATCGCTCTCCGAACGAGGAATCCATTGGTGGGGTCACACGTTCGGTTCGAGTCCTGCTTAGCGACTCTGGAGCTCGAAACGCGTCTAGAGTTTTGGCCGCCTACGCCGCGGCTGCTGGCCGCGGGAGCAGCTTACGCCGCCGCGGCTATACCCCGCGCGCGAGGCGAGCTCCCCTTTCCCTTCCCTTGCAGCGCCTTGCAGCGCCTTGCAGCGTTCGGTCGTAATGAAGATTGAAAAGCCTTATGCAGAGCCGTGCAGAGCTGTGCAGAGCGCGCCCCGCCCCGCCCCGGCCCGCCCCGGCCGTCACTAGAAAGGGAATGGCGGACATTGAGTGCCCCCGGTGGGGCCCAGTGGGGCCGGCGGGGCCCCCACCCCCATCATCGCGAGCACGTACCGTTCGTGTGGTCGCCGTCCCCCGGCCGCCGCCCAGCGAGTACCCTACAGTGGAGCACACAGGGCGTTTCTGTCCGCCGCCGAAGAGTCCTCCACGGACAAGACCTCGGTGCGGTGCGAGTGTGTGCTTGCGAATTATTGGAACGTCTGTTCCTTTCTCGCTTCGTTTTCGCAACACATAGCGAAAATGGAATGTTATTTTTCCAACCGGGAAAAAAAAATCTAATTTTTTCAACCGGAAAATCACAGCATTTTTCACCGAAATTTTTTTTCTAAACGCCTGCGTGCTTTCGTACAGCAGAAACACAAGGACATAAAAAAGCGCAGCATAAACGCAGGCAGGCAGTATCCCAGTGTATTACCGCCATTGTGTTCGGCAGGAGACAGCCGGCCGGACTGACGGACTGCCATTCTAACGGACTCCGGCCGGACAGCGCGGCGTCTCGCGGCGTGCAACTAACTCAAGGCGGAGCTGGCGGCCGGCGTCGTCGTGCACGCGACATTTTTCTACTGACTGCCACGCCGGGCCACGCCCCTCGGGCCGCGCAGCCCCGCGCAGCAAGCCGACCGACCGCCGCGGCCGCCGCACAGTGGGCCAGAAGACCGGCGGAGGCGGCCAAAACTCTAGACGCGTTTTGGGCTCCAGAGTCGCTAAATGGGTCTCGAATCGAACGTGTGACCCCACCAATGGATTGCTCTCCGAACGAGGAATCCATTGGTGGGGTCACACGTTCAATTCGAGTCCTGTAGAGCGACTCTGGAGCTCAAAACGCGTCTAGAGTTTTGGCCGCCTCCGCCGGTCTTCTGGCCCACTGTGCGCCGCCACGCCTTCCCGCAGAGGCCGGAATCGGGTCTCGTTGGCCGCTGCGCCTGCCCCGCTCGGCGGGGCGGGCGAACTTCGGTTCGGCTCGCCCGAGCTAGCTTGGCCATACCCGTCCCCGCCCGACGAGACTCGTGCATGTCAACGGGGCTCGTTGGCCGCTGGAGGTGAGGGGGTGAAGGGGTGACGGATTTTGGCTAGGCCGAGCCACCGACGGCCGGCGGCGGCCGGCGGCGGCCGCTTCCCAGCACCGAGGCGGCTGGCCGGCTGTGCCTGGCTTGCGTTCCAAGCGACAAGGTGTCTCTGTCGCACAGCAGCGGGTGTGTCGGACCTCTCTGTTCGGGCGACTCCTTCGGACGCACTCAGTGGCTGCTTGCTGTTGGCTTGACTCGGCGCCGGCGACGCACGGCTCGCCAGCCGGCGTCCGTCTGTCTGCCGTGCCTCTGGCTGATCTGGCCAACGGGGCCCGTTGGCGATCGGACGCGTTCGGCTCACTCGGTAACCTTCGGAGCATCGGTATCCGCCGTTCGGCTTTCTCGGACCTCTCTCTCGCACAGTGTCGCTGCGGCGGAGGCGAGCTACAGGGGTTCGCCAACGGGTCCCGATTCCGGCCTCTGCCTTCCCGGCCAAGCAGTACCCGTTGCTGTTGAACGCGCGGCGGTGGTGACATTCAGTCGTCGGGGGCAGGCAGGCTGCACAGCCCGGCAGGCCGTCGGTCGGTCTCTCTCGCACCCCCAGGGACGCCCCACGAGTGCGAGAGAGAAAGAGGCCTTCCACACGGAGTCGGCCTCCAGCGCCAGCAGCAGCAGTCAAGAGTCAAGGCTGCGACAGGCCGCGAACTCCGCCGTCGGCCGCGACAGGCAAAGCGAGGGGGTCCCTCGGCTGCATTAGAGGGAGAGAGAGAGAGACAGGCGCTGCGCGGGCGGCGCGGGCGGAGAGCAAGAGCAACGGAGAGGATGAGAAATAATGAAACGGAAAGGGCTAATTACCGAAAGAGCCGAGAGGACTGGGAGGACGAGGCGAAGCGGTATAAGGGCAGCCGGAATCAACGCCCCAGACGGTGTAGGTGTAGTAGCGCCCGGCCAGCCCAAGCACGGCGGAAGGCCCCAAGGACACTCCCAGCCAAAAGCGGCTCGCCAAAGTCCGACTGCATGATGAGCAGTGGGGGGGGGGGGCAACGCGCTGGGCCAGAGGCGGCACGGCACCGCCTTGTAAACTGGAAACGGACACGACGCTTCCGGCACCGCGTCGCGTTGGTTGACACAGCACAGCCCCGAGGAGTGCGTCGTCCACGTCGTCCACGTCGCCCGGGAGGAGGGACAGCGGACGCACGGACCTGGAGGGGCTTGTAATGAGGCGTCGGACTGCGTCGGACGGGCAGCGGGCCGTGCCGAAACAGCCGAAACGCACTTACAGGCCGTGAGTCACCACGCGGCGCTGGCCCGGGCTCGCGCCGCTAGAGGTGCCAACCACACCGGAGGCCGAGCGCCGGGCGGGTAGGCAACCCAACCGGCGGCCGCGGCGCCCGGACGGACGCTCCTCCGGGCGGACCGGGTCCTGCCGCGATCGGGTCGTCGCCCTGTCTCCCTCGCTATGTACATGTTCGACACTCACCTGGACGGCGCTGTTCAGGAAGCAGTTGTTCTGGCCGGGCCCGTTGAGCAGGCCCTTGGTGGACGTGATGGCCACCGAGTCCCTGGAGGGCGGCATGGCGGCGGCCTCGAGCCTACTGCGGGCCCGCCACCATCGCCATCATCGCCATGCTGGCCGCTAGGTCGCCCGGCGCCTGCAACACGCCAACAAGGGGGGCATACAGTACAGTCGCAGACACGAGTACGCCGGCAACGCGTTGGTCGCCAACCAGTGCACCGCCGCTTGGGTCGGCGTCCTCAGCTAAGGCTGAGGGAAACCAGACCGCCAGACCCGGGAATGTGACACTCGTCTCTCTCTCTCTCCGAATTAAATCAATGAAAACACTGCATGACTGCGTAGCCATTCAGAAGGATCGTTTCATCACTCTGTCTCCGTCGCACTCGCGGGGCTCCCCGCGCGGGTGCGAGGCCGCGGGCTGGGGCGGAGTGACGTCACCTGCCGCGTGCCGGCCGTGCCGCAGACAGAGACGGTGCACGCGTGCCTCGGCCGCCCCGACGACCGCAGTGCCGCAGTGCACGGCATGCCGCTGCACCACTGTAACGCGACCCGACGAAACGCCCAAACCAAACCCAACCCAAAACCGCACGCCGCGGCGCGCCGCTCCGATTCCAAGTCCGCGCCGACCGCGCCGCGTTTACGTCGTTTGTAGTTTCATTTATTTTTTGCCTCCATGGGTTTCCTACCCGACCGACCGACATAGGATATCTTCGGGAGGATTCGTAACTTCTTTTCTGATTCTCTTTTTCTAAAGCCTTCGAAAATCGTTTTCCTTAGGAAAATGCCTGTGTGTTTTGGAACCCCGGCCGCGAAAGTCGCCCCCCTCGGCACCGCGACGCGACGCCCGCCTCCCCCGGGGCCCTCTGGGGGCCGGGCCGCCACACGCCCCCGCTCTCTCTCTCTCTCTCTCTCTCTCTCTCTCTCTCTCTCTCTCTCTCTCTCTCTCTCTCTCTCTCTTCACTCTCACAGTGCGAGAGAGACGGCACGCAGCAGCTCGTGCCATCGCAAGGCGTCGCACAGCGGCACCGGACATAGCCGTCGACCGATTCCGAGAGTCGTTCTCGTCGCTACTCTGTCTCTCTCGCACTCGCGGCGCGCCCCATAGGAGTGCGAGAGACAGAGCGACGAGAACGACTCTCGGAACCAGTGTGCCGGAAGCCCCGGCAGGCATGCAGCCATTCATCGGTTTGAGGCCGCCAAGTCCCTCTCCTCTCTTCCTCCCGATGAATGGCTCAATGGCACCACCTCGCGGCGATATCCGCGACACACTTCCTGCCGACAGCCCGACACACAAAGGGCCTAGTCCGCCGAGTCGCGCAGCGTCGCGCAGCAAGACCGGTGATGACATCAGTAGGGCAGCACACTCTTTCCGAGAGTCGCTCTCGTCGCTCTGTCTCTCTCGCACTCACGGGGCGTCCCGTCAAGGTGCGAGAGAGACAGAGCGGCGAAAGCGCGCGGCGCGGCGCGTGCTAGATCGCCTTCCTGGCATCTGACACGGCGAACACGGCGAACCGGACAAAAAGCGTCGTCGTCGTTGTTGTTGTTGTTGTTGACGCCTCCGGGAGATTTCCGGTGCACCGGAAGGGTGGCCTACCCTCCGGGCGCCCCGGCAGCCTGCCTCCAGGGACATTGAACTTGAGCTCGAGAGGCTTGCCTTCAGAACATGAACGCCCTGGGAAGAAAGGTGGGCAACTCTGTTCAAACTCGTTGATCGCTTCGCTGCATATACCACTGTAAAGTGACTTGGCGAGGTTGGACCGGGGTATCCTTTCCGGCGGGGAGGGAGCCGAAGGAGGAGGAGAGAGAGAGAGAGAGAGAGAGAGAGAGAGAGAGAGAGAGAGAGAGAGAGAGAGAGAGACCGCTTCTGCCGGAGCCAGTCAAACCAGCGCGCCGCACTGCGTCGCACACGCCGCCATTTATTTGGCCCCGGCCGCGGCAGCAGCGGAGCGGGCTCATTCCAGACTCTGGCCATCTCTCTCGCACTCACTAGCCTCGCGGGCCATCCCGCACGGCGGCCAGAGAGAGACAGAGCGACGAGGGCACATCGGCCTGCAGGCTCCAGGCTCTCCAGGCTCCAGCGCGCTGTCTGGAGTGAAAAGGCAGCGTCAGAATGTCGCCGCGTCGCTGCCGCAGACACGTCATTTTTATTGTTTCGGCCCCTCTCGGTTTGGATTTGGACGAACACGCCGCGTCCCTTCCCTTCCCTTCCCTTTGGCGCAGACGAAGACAAAAGTGGCGGAGGGAGTGGGGGAGTCGGTCGATGCGGTCGGTCCCAGTGCTTGGAGACGCGCCATGAAGAATAGAGGCTTCTCTAATTTTTTCAGAGTTTAGAATAGAGCTTTAACCGCCCTTTTTTAGAATTTAGATTACAGGTTTCACTATTTTTTCAGAATTTGTAGTACAGGTTTCACCATTCAACCTCTACGTTTTCTAAACTCTTGAAAAATAGAGAAACTTCCATTCGCCATGTGGTGGCGGTGCGGCAAGTTTCGGAGCCGAGGATTATCACACGTGAAGCTGCTTCGGGTCGCGGGGGGGGGGGCGTGTTCCAGCACTTCCAGGACCAGTGTGACCGCCGCGACGCGACGCCGCGACGCCACCGCGGCCCTCTGCGATGACTCTTCTTCGCTCTGACTGAGTGTTTCTTCTAAGTTATGGCCGGCGTCTCTCTTTTTAATCTGTCCGTCTGTCTGTCCATCCGTCCGTCTGTCCACCTTGTCTGTCTGTCTTTCTGCCAGCCTTTCTGTCTGTCGCTGTCTGTTTGCCTGTCTGTATGTCTGTCTGTGTCTGTCTCTATGTATGTCTATCTGCCTGTCTGTCTGTCCGTCAGTCCGCACTTTTGCGTGGACATGCACGCACGCCTGCGAAAGGTGCCACACGGCAGCTCGTAAAATGCCCCTCCATACCCCTCCGTGCCCCCCCCCCCCCGGGCGGGTATTTAAGCAGCAGCCCCCCGCAACTCGGTGCACTCCGTGGCACGTTCGTAAAGCCCGCCACCGTGATTAGAACTCCGCGGGGAAACGAAACCGAACGCAATGGCACTGTAATGAGAGCCCCGGCGTATTCTTCTTCGGCGAAACTAGAAGACGACTGACGCTGCGAAGAAAAAGCACAAGAAGAAAAAAAACAGCGAAAGGAGACGGAGAGAGGTGCGAAGAAAAATAAAAAGGGGAGTGTGTAGAGAGCATCCGCGCGCGTCAAAATGAGGAGAGACCTTCGCATTTGCGCCGTTTTCCTTCGTTCTTCTGCTCCTTCCCTTTTTTCCTTACGGCTTTTCGAGCGGCCGTAGGCATACTTTCAAATCGTTCCCAAGCGTCCAGTGTGGTGTAGTGGTGCAGCGCGCGCGAGAGAGCAAAAGAAACACATTGCGCAGCGCGCGGCACGGCCAGTTCCAATTTTCCCTCTCGACCTCTCGACGCGAAACGGCACGAAAATATAAGGCTGCTGCGCGCCGAGAGGCAAACCATGCACACAGATAATGCAGCCCAGGCGCAACGCACACTCTCACTCACACATGCACACACACACACACACGAAGCAATGCAACGACGCCGTTGTCACTTCCAGGTACGTCAGATACTCCACGCCCTGTTGTTGGCCATAGCGTGTGGCAACCTGTACGCTGAGTGTGTGTATGTGTGTGTGAGAGAGAGAGAGAGAGGGGGGGGGGGAAGAGGGAGAGAGAGAGAAAGAAAGAAAGAGAGAGAGAGTCGCTACCCCGGTGCCTCAAAAGCGCGCGCGTGAGTCCCTTGTGCCATGAATGATAACAAGGCCAGGTGCTGTCTGTGCGGCGGAGGCAGGCGCGGACGGCTTGTCAAACACTCGCTATCAAACGACGACGCCCCGTTCCGGGCCCCGGGCCCCGGGAGGGGTCACCTCGGCGACGCGACGCCTTAGAGAGACGACAGAGAAAGGGGAGGCTCACACGGCCGGGGCGCGGCCAGATAAGAACTGATGCTGCGGGGGAAACCTGGAAACTACTTCTAAAAGAAGACGCGCGGTTATCAAGAAGCGCGCACCCCGCCCAGAAAAACGAAACGACGGGATTACTGTCCGTGTGTGTGTGTGTGTGTGTGGCGCGTGTCTACGTCGGTGTATCTTACTCTGTGCGCGAGTGCGCGTGTGTGAGTGTCGGTGCGAGTGCGTCGCGTTCCACAGGTGTTGGCCGGGCCGATTGCAAGACGGCTGGATGACCAGCACACTGATCCCGAGAGTCGTTCTCGTCGCTGTCTATCTCGCACCCGTACGGGACGCCCCGTGAGCGCGAGAGAGACAGAGCGACGCAAACGACTCTCGGAATCAGTGTGCAGGCTCGCTGCTCGGCGCGGCTTGGCACCCCGCGGGCCACTTGACCGCTCGATGAGGCCATCAAGCGCTAGCAGCGCTAGCTGGACAAGCCAGCCACCGCGGGCCGCGGCGAGCCGCCCAGACACCACACTGCCTCTCTCGCGCGCCGATAGGGGCAGCGCCCTGGGCGCGAGCGAGACGGAGCGACCGAAACGACTCTCAGTGTGCAGGTCTGCAGGTCGGCAGCGCGGCTTGCGTAAGGAAATGGGCCGAGCGAGCCAAAAGGAATCGAGAGGAATCCGGTCCCACTAGCACCACTAGCTGCCATCGGCTGCCATCGGCTAGCCAGCCACACTAGAGGACTAGAGCTGGCTGCCAGCGTGCCTGCCCGCCGGGCGGCGCGGCCCCGCGTCCCTTGTCCCGCGGCCATTCCAACAACCGCCTGCAGCCGAAGCCTCGCGAGCCGCTGCCTGCAGCCTGCCTATGCAGCCTGCAGCCCGCGGCCCATTCCACGACACTTTTACAAAGCGGCGCCGCGCTGCCCGCGCTCGAGCCGGTCATTTCGTCTGTCTCTGTCGCACTCGCGCGGCGCCGCGTAGGGGCGCGAGAGAGACAGCGATGTTTGGAGCCAGCCCGCGGGCCGGACGAACGGGTTGCCTTGCTGACCACCGAAGGCCCTGCAGAAGGCCCTCCGCTCCTCTGAGGTCACTCGGTAGACACAAGGCCTTCCCTCGATATTCATTCCGTCGCCCCGCTGTCCCTGCAGATGATTCCGAGAGTCGTTTTCGTCGCTGTCTCTCTCTCGCACCTTTACTGGGCGCCCCATCAGTGCGAGAGAGACAGAGCTAC